GCCCACCATGCTGGGTCAAGCCCCCAAGCCCTGTCAGGATCGCAGGTGAGAAGGCCCAGCTGTGCCCTGTCCCACCACCCAGGCCTCCACTTGGTGTCTTGGCACCCAGTGAGCGCTCACTGCCTTGGAGGGGCTGCTATCTCCCTGAGGGTGGGGACAGAATGTCAACTTCTGCCCACCCCTCATTTTTGCCTCACTGGCAGAGCCTCAGTCCCATCAACCCAGCTTGAGTTTTCTGTTTCCTTGCTAAAATAAAAACAATTTTTTCTTTGTTTTTTCTATCAGTCTACACCTTTTCTTCCCCATTCTTACTTTTGGCCTGATTGTTGAGTCCACACCGGCCTTGCCTTCAGCAATAGCCAGTCATGCACTGGAGTTGGGGTGGCTGGGGCCAGTTTAATCATCCATTTGCTCATTCATTCATCACCGGTTTCTTGAGTGTCTCCTATGGACCAGGTTTTATTCTAGGCCTTTGGGATACAGCAGACTAAGGATACAAAGCCTGTGCAAAGGCCCTGGGGCAGGACCATGCCTGGCGTATTGGGGGAACAGTGAGGAGGACCATGTGGCTGGAGCAGAGTGAGCGAGGGGGACAGACGGAAGAGGCGAGGGCAGGGAGGAGACAAGGACAGGTCGAGAGGGAGAACTTGGGGTTTTATCTTGAGCGAGGTGGGCGCCCTGGAGGGCCATGGGCAGAGCTGGACAGGACCTGACTCTGTGCTCACAGGCGCCCTCTGGTGGCCGCTGCAGGGAGGACAGACTTGGGGGTGCTAGGGCAGAGGGGACTGTGCTGGTCCAGGTGGGCGATGATGGCACTGAGAGGAGCAGGGAGCAGTGACAGATTCTGGACAGAGTAAAGGTAGATCCCAGTGCTTTTGCTGAAGGACATATGTTAAGGCCCCTTCCCTGGTTCCTGGGGAGCCCCCAGTCCTTTGGGAGTGTTCCCTGCCTTAGTTTCCACATCAAACAAATGTGAAGAAGCACGCAGCTCCTGCCGAGACTTGTATGTGTGCAGACGGGAGAGGACTGCATCTGTCCCTCCATTGATCAGTCAGTCAACAAATGTTCACAGGTGTCTGCTAAGGGCAGGGCCAGCCCCGTAGGCAGCACAGCTGTGCCTTGAGTGGGTCTTGGCCTGGAGATGAGGACTGAGTGGGGCCTGCTCTCCCAGCTCTGCATGTCAGGCTCTTTCCCTCCCCTAGGCTATTTTTAAAACTGAATTTCCTCGAAAACGGGGTGGCTCATTCAGAAGATAATTGGTCACATCTTGGGCTGGGAGAAGCACCACGTCTTGGCGACATGCTGGTGTCTTCTCTGTCTCTCCAAGCCTGGCCCTGTGGGTGCCTGCCACCCACTGCAGCCGCGTGACCTTGTACAACAGACTCATCCCTGAGCGGGCCGCCCTTCCTCTGAAGAGCCTGTAAGGTCCAAGGACCAAGGTTTTGGTGAGAGTGACAGGGTCGCTGCCCTCACAGGCATCACTCTGTGGTGGGGCAAATGATGAGGTTAAAAAACGGAATTTCAGAGAGTGGGTGGGGCTTGCAGAAAGCACAACTGGGGGATGTGGCCTGAGTCACAGAACAGGTTGGTGACTAGGGAGACCCCTCTGAGGAGAGCTGGGCTGAGACCTGAAGGCCACGGGGAGATCTGGGGGAGGTGTTCTGAGTAGAGGGAGCAGCATGGGCCAAGGCCCTGAGATATGCGTGTGTCCATTCACTATACTGCTTGCTGTGAACTCCTCCCGGGGGCCCCCAGCCTGCCCAGCCCTCACCTCCTCCCGTTTGCTCTGCTTCAGCCACATGCCCCATAGCAAAGCCTGCCTTTGCCACCCCCACCCTGTAACTCTGGGCCAGTGAATGGCCTTCCTGCTGGCCTCCTGAGGTGTCTGGTGTGGTCAGTGCAGTCGAGAGGCCAGAGGGTCATGGTTGTTGCCCTGGGTAGGGCAGCCTGGCCAGGACTTCCTATCAGATGCTGGTGTTGGACTGGCCTGGGCAGCAGGATGCCCCACACAGGCCCACAAGAATTCAGACACCTTAGGGGGGAGCAGGAGGACATAGGAGGGGTGGCTTGTGGAGGAGGCCAGGACCTTGGTGTTGGACCCGCTCGGGCAGAAGCCCTGGGATGAAGGGCCAGGAGCTGTAGAGGATGCGGGTGGACACCTCTGGGTGGGCTCTGGGCCCAGGGGCCTCAGGCAGGCTAAGAAGGGGGACTCTAGGGTCCCCCACACGAGGTCTAGAATATTCAGCCCTGGTCCACCGCCAGCTTCCTGCGTTCTCTCCTCTTCCTTCCCCCACATCCCAATCGCAAAACCATGAATTGTTCTGTTGTTGGGTGGCCAACAAAAATATTATGTCAGCTTTCCAGCACCTTTTGGCCCCCGCTTACCACCGCCTGGGCCTTGGGATGTGCCAAAGCCCAGGTTTGTCGCTGTGGCCAGGACGCCCAGGAGCGGGGAGCCCTTGCATGTCTGCTGGTAGGCACCCAGGGCCCAGTGTGACCCCCACATGGCTGGTGTGTCCTGGTCCGGCTGTTGTCAGCGGCCTTCTGGGACCCTGGGCTGGTGACTCAGCCTTGGTCTGTTGGCTTTGTCCTTTGGGCCAGCGTCCCCTCTGGTGGGTCCTGTAGTCATGACCTTTGCCTTGACCACCTGCCTCCCACCCAGCCCCAGTTTCCCTATCTGAACCGTTTCCTAGGGGTCTCAGCACCTGGTGCATGCACAGGTGGGTGCTTGATGTGGTGGCTGGACTGGTGGTCACAGTTGACAGGAGTCCACACACCCTGCTGGCCTGACTACGCCTGTGGCTCAGTGTCATCTTGGGTTTGTTTTATACTTTTTTATCGAGAGAGAATTTATATACCATAAAACTCACACTTTTAAGCATATAGTTTAGCATTTTTCGTGTTGTCACAATGTACAATTGTCACCACTGATTTGAACAGAGCAGGTTCCTCCTTTCCGGGGGGGGGCTACCCCCCCCCCATGAGATTAACCCCTGACCCCTCACCTGGGCCTGCCACTCTGGGGGGAAGGGGCTTGGTCACCCTCCCCAACCTACACCATTCCCAGGCAGCCTGGTCTACTCTCGGGGCTCCAACCTCATCTGCGCCCTGATGACACCCACAGTCCTGTCTCTAGCAGGGCCACCTCTGAGATCCAGACTCAGGGTCCAGCTGCCCCTTGCAGACATCTCCATGCAGAGGGCTCATGGGCGTCTCCCACTCAACATGCTGCGCTGTGTTAGACCATCCCCCAAACCTGCTCCTGCCCATTCCCCACCTCAGCTGCAGCAGCTTCATCCTGTTACTTGCTCCAGTCAAAAGCCTTAGTCATTCCTGACTCCTTGCTGTTCTTCACTCCGCCTCCATAAGCATAGCCTGTCTGTCCTAACTTTAGATCTTTCCAGAATTCACAGACTTCTCTCTACTCCTGAGCACCCACCCACACCCCCACCCCATCCACCTCATTAGTGCCCACTTGGACCAGGCTGACCTCTTGCCCTGATCCTCAGCCCCTCGCAATCTGCCATCCCTGAAGCAGCCACCAGCGGGCGCCTATGAGTACCCAAGTCAGGTCTGGCCCCCTCTCTGCCCGCAACCCTCCAGGGCTCCCACCTTCCTCAGGGTAAAATCCGAAGACCTCTATTGCTGATCTGCACCCCATACCTGTCACCCTGAGTCCTCCTGGCACTCACCAGACTGTCCAGGCCCTTCTCTGCTCCCCACTGTGAGCCCTTGAGGGCAGGGGCCAGGTTTGTCCTGGTCATCACTTGCTTCCTCCCAGGCTGACACCTGATTGACACCCAGTGAATAAGTTTCCTGTTGCAGCTGAAACAGATCACTGCAAACTTGGTGTAAAACCACATGTTGATTCTCTGACAGTTCTGGAGTCTGGGGTCCGACCCCAGGTCTCATGGGGCTAAACATAGATGTGGATGGGCTGCCCTTCCATAGGCCCCATGGGAGAATCGTTTCCATTTCCAGGCGTTTCCAGCTTCTAGAGGTTCAGCGCCTGGCTCGTGGCCCCTCCTCCATCGTCACAGCCAGCAACACAGCCTCTTCCATCTCTCTGACTCTTACCCTCCTGCCTCCCTCTTATGAGGACCCGGTGATGACACTGGGCCCCCCAGGGAATCCAGGGTACCCCCCATCTCAGGGACCTTAACTCAGTCGTGTCTGCAAAGCCTGTTCCGGGATCAGGACGTGGACATCTTTGGGGGGGGGTGTGCATATCATATCTGCCAACCACCCTTATTGAACAGATAATCCTCAGCAGAAGCCACTTTCTGAGTCAGGATACCAGGGCTCAGAGAGGTCAGTGTTGGGCCTGAGGCCTCCCCTCGGGGGCCAGGGTTGGAGGGAATGGTCCTGAAGGAGAAAGATCGCTCGCCTTCTTACTGGGAGCTCCCTTCTGCAGGGTAAGCTCTCCCCTGGGGCTTTGGTGACTGGAGCCATGTCCTCGGTTGGCTTTTCAGGGCCAGCTCCGTCAAGAGGGCAGGGAGAACTGGCGCCATTGCTACAGCCAGGGTCCCCGACCACTGCCCACTGACCACAGTCCCCCAAGCCCAGGCCCTCCCCATGATACCACCCCAACCTTGCCCTTCTGGGTCACCTGATTTCTCTGTCTCAAGTGTCTCCTGGTTAAGCCCTGCTCCTTCCAGCAGAGGAAGACAGACAGCACTTTGTCAATTCAGAGTTACTCAGTCCTTTGCCACCAAGGGCCTGATGTTTTGGGGATAATTTTTGGGTCAGAGTTGGGGTGTTGTTATTCCCTGCTGTTCCCACCCAGGGGGTCACCCAGCGTCCAGTCCTGCATCTTGGCTCATCCTGTCTCAATGCCCCCGTGTCCCACGAGAGGTCGTTGCAACCCTCCTCAGGGACACAGGGTGCCGAGTGAAGTTGTAGGTGCCTGTGTCTGATGGGTGGAGCATGGTGACAGTGGGCTGGGTCTGCAGCCTGGGCTCCCTGCTGCCAATCTGAAGTTTCTCCCTTCTCTTCCTCAGGTTTGGCCCAGAAAAAGATGGCCCCGATGGAGGTGAGTGTCCTGTGGTCCCCACCCTGACCTGCCTCCTCCCAGAAGACAGATGAAGAAGTACCCACCCCTACCTGGGTCCTGCTTGGTGGCCTTGGGCAACTCACTGGATGTCTCTGGGCTCCAAGTACTGGCAAATGTCAGATGGGTGAAAATCCCATCCCACCTGCCAGCTTTTTGTTTCAGGGAGGGGTGCGGGTGGGGGAAGGATGAGGCCGGAGGACCCAGCCCTGGGCCAGTGAGAGCAGGAGGCCAGAGAGGGAGGCCGAGGGGTCCCGGAAAGGTGGGTGGGAAGCCCTGCGAGTGCGGGAGGCGGGGTGGGGGCGTGGTCCTTGAGGAGGCGTGGTCTTGCCAGGAGGGCGGTGCCTGATGCCCGAGGAGCAGCTCCTTTAGCATAGTATCCGCTGCCAACCCACGCAGGAGCACAGGGTCCCTTTCGTTCTCCACGCCCACTGTCTTCACCATCATTCGGCCATGTTCCTAGAGAGCTTTCCCTCATGATGGCTGCTCTCATGCGCACATGCCTCTGTGCCGCCTCATGGGCTCCCCTGCTGCCTGTCCGCCAGGCACAGGCAGGGTCAGCACTGCCCCTGGTTAGAGTTTCCCATCACTCCTGAATTTTCCAGGAGGAGCAGCCCAGCTGTGGCATGCCGGCACCTGTGATAGCAGGAGTCCTGCCTGGGCGACCCACGTTCCCTTGGAGCCAGGTCTCTTCCAGGATGCCAGCTGCCACGTGGGTCCTAAGAAGGGCTTTGTCCACCTGCCACAGGGCAGTAGAAGGGAGGCGGGCAGGCCCAGGTTCTCCGAGGGCAGTGGGGAGCCAGTGAGGGGTATGGAGCTGGGGCTGCAACAAACAATTTCTGAGGGGAGCCTGCCCCCTGGTGGCCAATGTGCTGCAGAACACGCGGGAGCCAAGCTGAAGAGCAATGGCAGGTGGGGGGCATTCCAGGACTGCCTGGAACCGATGTGGGGGCAGCACGGGTCAGGCTGGTGGCCAGGAGGGCTGTGTGGACTCTTTGAATGATGGCAGGTACACAGTGGTGCTTCCTAAATATCTGACAGGTGGGGCCACCAAAGGGGCACCCAGTTGTGTCTGCTGGCTGGCCTCAGACCCCTGCTCTGAGCTGGCATGTGTCCCTCCAGGCCCCCGTGGCCCCTTCCACCATCCTCCCCCTATGATGTCACATGAGGGCCAGTGGCTTCCACACACGTTTGCTGGGATGGCCATGTCATACCTGCCACAGCTGTCTTCTAGAGCTAGTAGGAGCTGGGCCTGCCCCCAGACCAGCAGGGCCTTGTCCCTTAGGGAGGGCATGCTGTTGGAAATCATTTCAGCCCAGAAGGTCTCACCATGGGCAACTCTGTCCATGAGAGACACTTCGTGACATTTAGGGACATCTGTGGTTGTCACATTGTGTGTGTGGGGGGGCTCCTTACATCGAGTGGATGGGGACCAGGATGCTGCTCAACCCCCATAGTGCCCAGGATGGCCCCACAGAGAACAGCCTGGCTCCATGTCAGCAATGCTGAGGGGAGACCCTGAAATTAGGGCTCTTCTTCCTCACACATGGGTGGCCAGGACTGCTGGCTTCCAGCTTTTCTTGAGGCGCTGGGGGTCCTGGTCTGGGTTTGGGCCCTAGTGATTGTGAGATATTATCCACAGGGTGTGCATGCCACCCACACAGCTTCCTGCCCCATGCACACCCCACGTGGCTCAGCTTTGGGCTGCAGCTGGTGACTAAGCCCCCCTTTCCCAAAGATTTCGAGAGCATTCTAGCCCTGGCAGCTCCTCCTGCTGACTTAATGCTTTTTGTTTCCTCTTCTCTAGGCCCCGGTAACGACTGGACAGCCAGGCCCTGGCCACGGGAGGAAGCTGGGCCATAGGGGTGTGGACGCATCCGGTGAAACCACTTACAAAAAGGTTCCTCCCCTGTCCTTAGCTGGCTGGGATGGGATAAAGAGGGGGCTCCCAGTGATTCCAAGGGCCCATCTGCCCCCGGTGCACGCACAGGGTCCACTGACGGTTGGGCATGTGCTGTGGCCCTGCTCTTGGCCCAGGCCCCTCCGTGTAGGACCCTCAGTCCTGGCAAGGTCCCAAAAGCCAGGCAGGAAGTACAGCCTTGGAAGTTGCTTGACCTTGGGCGAGCCCTCAGCTCCCAGTTCTGCGAGCTCATCTAGAGAGGGAGGAAATTGCAGCTCTCCTCCCCTCCCATTTCCTCAGAAAGTGAGGCTGAGATGAGGCAGTGATGGGAAGCTCTGAGCCAGGCCTGGCCCCTGCCGCCATTAGTCTCACCTGCCTCAGTTGCACTTCCTAATAGGACAGCTTTGCTGAGAGTGCATGCACTGTGATTCCCCCCTTTTGAAGCGTACAATTAGATAGTTTCTAGAGTATTCAGAGTTGCACAGCTATCACCATAGTCAAGTTTAGAATATTTCCATCTCCCCAAAAAGACACCCTGTCCCCATTAGCAGTCACCCCCATCCCCCACCCCCGCCCCTGACAACCACAAACCCACTTTCTGTCTCTGGACTTGCCTGTTCTGGACATTTCACATGAATGGAATTACATACTGTGTGGCCTTGTGTGTTTGGCTTTTCTCACTGAACATCATGTTTTCATGGTCTATCCACGTTGTAGTGAGTGTCAGCGCCTCCCTCCTTTTCATGGCTGAGTAATACTTCAATGTGTGGATGAACCGTGTTGTTTATCCGTCCACCCATGAATGGACATTTGGGTTGTTTCCATTTGGGGGTTATTAGGAATTGTGCTGCTGTGAATGTTCATGTACAAGTTTTTGTACGGACATGTGCTTTCATCTCTGAGACACATACCTAGCAGTGGAATTGCTGGGTCATATGGAAACTGTTTAACCACTTGAGGAACTGCCAGACTGTTTCCACAGCAGCTGCCCTATTTCCCATTCCCAGCAGCTGTGCGCAGAGAGTCCAGTTTCTCCCCGTCCACACCTGCACTTGCCTCTCCTTCTGATCACATATCCTAGTGGGTGTGAAGGGGTGTCTGTCTCACTGTGGGTTTGATTTGCATTTTCCTGATGGCTAATGGTGTGGAGCACCTTCTCCTGTGCTTGTTGGCCATTTGTGTGTCTGCTGGAAAAACATGTGTTCAGTCAGTGGCACCTTGAGGGAGTTGAGCTCAGAGGGCAGGACAGGTTCTCCCTTCGAGGAGGTTCAGGGGGAGAGGCAGCTGAGGCCATGTGACCCTTGCACAGCAGGATGGGCTTGCTCGGGAGCAAAAGCTAAATCCTGCCTTCTTTCCCTGCCACTTGCACCTGAGACAGGTGCTGGGGACCAGAATCAGGGACTTGAGGGCTGAGATGTCTTTCCTCAGTGTTACACACGCTGCTTAGAGTGCAGTGACAATACTGTAAACCATGCCGATAAGAAAAGTTCAGACAACGAATGCTTCTCAATTGTGGGCAGCCTTTGGGCTGCTCACATGAGTTAACTCACTGTCATCTCCATCCCCTGCTATGGGTGGGGAAACCAAGGTTCGAAGAGGCACTGTCTCTCCCTGGTCATGACAACACAAACCACCTAGAAAGTGTGTAGAAGAAGCCTAGGTCTATGGCAATGAAGTTTGGGTGTCACTCTGTAAATTGTGCCCCCTGCAAGAAAACCTTGATGGTGGATAGACCCTTGCTGAATCAGGACAGTTTTGAGGTGTTGGAATGTTCTAGAACTTTGATTGAAAACGGGCCTCAGGGCCGGCCGAGTGGCCTGTTGGATTGGGATTTGGCTTGGGATGCCAGCTCTGAGAGGTGGGGCCCCGGTTCGGATTCCACATTTGGGCCAGTGACGCTGCGCCCTCTACAGTTGAGATGGTGAACAGCAGCTCAACCTGGAGCTGGGCTGCCGTGGGTCGCTGGCAACTGCGTGGGCTGCAGGGGAGCTGCAGTGGGCTCCCGTAAGCTACCGTGAGCAGCCAGCAGCCAACATGAGCTGCCGAGAGCCACCGTGAGTGGCTGTTCAGTGGCCGGCGACCGATCTGTCTCACCCGGGAAGAGCACAATGATAATACCAACATGGGCCAGTGAGGCGACGTCCTCCACAATTAGACTGAAGAACAAAAGGACAGCGACTTGTCTGTTCCCCTTCCCCGATTCCCCAATAAAATCTTTAAAAAAACAAATAAATAAAAAATGGGCCTTAGGACCACATGAGACAGTGTTGGAGTCTCAGGCCACTTCCTTGCTGTGTGGTTGTGCAGGCTAAGTAACTGGCCTGAGGCCAGTGGGTCTGTGACAAGTGCTCCTTAGGTGCCCTGGGATCCAAGGGTGGGGCAAGGGCCAGCCAGGGGTCTTGATGCGGCTGCATTTCCCCGCAGACCACGTCTTCCACTCTGAAGGGGGCCATCCAGTTGGGCATAGGCTACACCGTGGGCAACCTGAGCTCTAAGCCGGAGCGCGATGTGCTCATGCAGGACTTCTATGTCGTGGAGAGCATCTTCTTCCCCAGGTAGGCCTGGCTCCTGCATCCCCGACAGCTCGCCCGACAGACACACGCTGTTGTCAAACAAAACAGCTTCCTATTCTCTGAGCTCCCTGTTCTACTGCAAATATCGATAGCACAAGCCCCTCCTGACATCTGCTTGGCTTTGAGGTCCAACTTGGGATCCATTAGGATATTAGCTTGCTGCTGAATCAGAGAGCCAATATTAAGTGTTTTTTGTTTTTTTTTTTAAATAGGGACATAAAAGATAGAAGTTTGTTCTCTCTCTCTCTCTCTCTCTCTCTCTCTCTCTCTCTCTCTCTCTCTCTGTGACACACACACACACACACACACACACACACACTCACACACTCACTCCCCCCACCCCCAGGGCTGGTCAGGTGGGCCCCAGGTTCCTTCTTGTTGCTCTGCCTTCTTCAGTATGCAGCTTTTCTAACCAGCAGTCCCAGGTGGCTACCCAAGCTCCTGCCATCATGTCTGCATTCCAACAGCAGGAATGGAGGAGAAGGGGAAGGGGAGCACATGCCCATTCCCTTTAAGGGCACGACCAGGAAATGACATACATTGTTTCTGCTTCACTCACAGCTCATTGGCTGAGCACAGTCACATAATCATACTTAGCTGCAAGAGAGGCTGGGCAGTGGTCTTATTCCAGGTGGCCATGTGCCCAGCCAATGCTGTGGACTCTGTTGCTAATGAAGTAAGGGAGAGTGGATACTGGGGACATCCTGAGGCTGGCCATAATGCTTGGTCCCATTGGGAGCCCCAGGTTGTCTTTTGGATTGGCACCTTAGGGAAGGCCATGGAGCTCGATAGCTAGAGGCACTGTTCTTCACAGACTTCCCTCCCTCCTTCCTCTGCAGTGAAGGCAGCAACCTTACCCCCGCCCACCACTTCCAAGACTTCAGGTTCAAGACCTATGCGCCTGTTGCCTTCCGCTACTTCCGGGAACTTTTTGGGATCCGGCCAGATGATTACTTGGTAAGTGTGTTAGTCAACTGTTACTGTGTAGTAAGTTAGCACGGACCGAGTGACTCAAAACACTACCTGGCTGTTACCTCACAGTTTCTGTGGGTCAAGAATCGGGTGCCGTTCAGCTGGGTTCTTTGCTCAGGGTTGTTTGTAATCAAGGGGTGGGTGGAGGCTGGGGTCTCACATAAGACTAGACTGGAGGTCTGCTGCCAAGCTCATGTCATCAGTTCCTTGCTGGCTGTGGGCTGGGTTTTCTGTTATTCCTATAAGGGAGAGAGGGAGCCTGCCAGCAAAGCAGACCTCACCCATCTCCTGTGAGCTCAGCACAGGACTCCCTGCCCACGCACCACCTACCTTCCAGTACTCGCTGTGCAACGAGCCGCTGATCGAGCTGTCCAACCCGGGCGCCAGTGGCTCCCTCTTCTACGTCACCAGCGACGACGAGTTCATCATCAAGACGGTGATGCACAAGGAGGCCGAGTTTCTGCAGAAGCTGCTGCCTGGCTACTACATGGTAGGGGGTGTGGGCTCCCGTAAGGTTTAGGGAGAGGCAGCAGAGCCCTGGGTTCCCCTCTAGCCCCTGTCTGCCTCCCCAGCCTCATGCCCCTATTCCCTCTAGCATGTGCAGCAGTTCCACTCTGCCCTCAGCTCTTGTCCACAAAGGGCTTCAAGGCCATGGCAGATGGGTTCCCAATATTCCCAGGGCACCACTCACGCTCTGGGTGGCCATGAGAAGCATTCCTGGGTTACTGAGCCTCACCCCCCCCCCCGGGGAGGCCTCAGGGGGTCTCCACACACTTGTGAGCCATTTAGGCCCTGGTGGCCATCCCAGAAGGGTGGGGGATGGGTCCCAGCCCCACATGTCTCCCTATCCCCTGCCCCACTGACACTCCTAATCTTGGGTACAGAAATCATGGCTCATGAACCGCAAGTCTCTGCGTCTGGTGACTCAGAGGCTCTGGGGGGAGGGTCCGGGTTGCCAGCTGGCGCTTCATAAAGGACCAGCTGCTCAGGTGTGACTCAGGACCTGAAGTGGCACGTGTCAGGCCCCTGGGCGGGGTGGGAGCGGGGGTCCTGGTACTCAGGTGGGCTGCGCCTGAGTCCTGACCTGGCGGGCGTGGGGACAGGTCCCTCCAGATGCTCTGCATAGGCTGTGACCATCTCCCCTTACAGTGTCCCACATCACTGTATTATCTTGGTGGGACTCCTGGCTCCCCTAGATCGGGGGTTGGCAAACTTTCTCCAAAGAGCCAGACAGTAAATGTTCGCAGCTTTTTGAGCCAACAGCCTGTCTCCATAGCTCAGCTCTGCCATTAGAACAGGGTGGGAGGGCCGAATGCCAATAAAACTTTATTTCTGGACACTGAAATGTGAATTTTATGTAATTTTCACATGTTACAAAACGCTATTTTTCCTGTTGTTGTTTTTTTCCCCCAACTCTTTCCCAATATAAAACCATTCTTGTGAGAAAGAGCAGCTGGAAGGATTTGGCCCTTGGACCATGTTTGCCAACCCCTACCCTGTACATACCTGGAGGCTGTGCCCCCCATGTCTCATCAGGGTGGGATGGGGAAGAGGGGACACCTGATCTGACCAGGTGGGAAACTGGACCTGGACACCTTGATGTTGTCCCATGCGGTTCTTTATCGAAAGGCCATCCTGCTGTGCCCGGCTCTGTGGCATCACCCTCCTGGAGCTTCTAGTTGGGTGGGGAGACGGAGAATTAAACTGGCTGGTATGACCTGTGTCAAGTTGGGATGCTGGGGAGGCATCTCTGGGGGATCTCAGTTGGGATCTCTGGCCTGAGATCTGAGGGGCAAGTGGTGGCCAGGTAGGGCCAGCCCCATGCTGAGCGGCTGTGGGGTGCAGGAGTGGCTCCCAGCACAGTGTGGCACCCCAGCTGCTATCTATCCACCCTTTCCCTTCTCCCCGCAGAACCTCAACCAGAACCCTCGGACGCTGCTGCCCAAGTTCTATGGGCTGTACTGCGTGCAGTCAGGGGGCAAGAACATCCGCGTGGTGGTCATGAACAACATTCTGCCGCGCGTGGTCAAGATGCACCTCAAGTTCGACCTCAAAGGCTCCACATACAAGCGGCGGGCCAGCAAGAAGGAGAGGGAGAAGAGCATCCCCACCTACAAGGATCTGGACTTCATCCAAGACATGCCCGAGGGTCTCCTGCTCGATGCTGATACCTTCTCTGCACTTGTCAAGACGCTGCAGCGGGACTGCCTGGTGAGCCTGTGTCCCTGACCCCACCCTGCAGAGGAGGAGCCCAGGGCCAAAGAGGCTCCCTTGCCCTGGTGGTGCAGGTGGTTAAGGGTGGAGACGCCCCCATGTGGCCTTGAGCATTGCTCCCCGCTCTGAGCCTCTGGGATGCTGGTGAAAGCTAGCGCAGCGTGAGCTTTTCACTAGGCTCCCTTCTGTACCCGCCCATCCCCATGCCCTGAAGCAGCTCCTACGTTCTCATGGCCCTTAACCTAAAGGGTGCTCCAAATCCCGACCTATTCCACTGTGTAGCACACACTGGTTCCTTCTGGCCCTCTTCCACAGTTAGGTGCTTTTTAGGGAAGAAGAATGCCCTGCCGGACTCTTCATGAGGCCTTACAACCTCAGTGCACCCCTCCCAGCCTGGAAAGTCAGGCCACTCACCTCTCTAGAGATGAGGACACAGAGGCCCGGTGAGGGGCCCCGCCTGTCAGCGCCAGGCTGGGCCCTGTGTGGTCCTCTGCTGTGCATCCCCGGCCCCTCAGCCCACTGCCTCCAGCTCCCAGACCCCTTTGAAAACTTGACACAAAGTCACCAGAAAATTGCCCAGATGTCTCAAGGCTTTGCAGCTTCTGGGAGTCCATCCCCTGAGTCTAGGTGTCCGCGTGCCTGGATTTCACCTTGGGGCCTAGAGCAGGTGTCACGTCTACAGCACCCAGGCTCCTCAACTGGTGCCAGGGCAGTGGGAGTGCAGAGCTGCCTGCTGTGTCTCTGGCCATTGCCAGCTCTGCCTCCATCTATCCCCCGCATGGCCTAACTTCTGCCCCTTGGTATTCTGCTCTGTGAAATGGAGATGGGGATAAGATCTCCCTGCATGACAGGGAACTGAGTGGACATAGACGCAGAGTGTGCAGCTTGGGGTCACCACCAGGATCAGGGGCAGGGAGACGGGGCGGCATGTGTCCTCCTGACCTCTCCCCAACACCTGGCAGGTGCTGGAGAGCTTCAAGATCATGGACTACAGCCTACTCCTGGGCGTGCACAACATCGACCAGCAGGAGCGCGAGCGGCAGGCCGAGGGCGCCCAGAGCACGGCAGATGAGAAGCGGCCGCTGGGCCAGAAGGCACTCTACTCCACAGCCATGGAATCCATCCAGGGCGGGGCTGCGCGCGGGGAGGCCATTGAGACGGATGACACGTAGGTGGGGGAGCTTCCAGTTCCTGTCTCTGCCCACACTCTCTTGCCGGACGTGAACATGGGCAGGATGAGTTGGCATGGAAGGCAAGAAATGACAAAGCAAGGGAGGCCAGAAGCCTGAATGTAGCCAGTTTCTGGCTTGTCCACAGGGACAGCAGTGTTTGCCAGGCCCTGTGAGGAGCAGACAGATGACACACAGCTACAGCCTGGGTGTTTTGACCGCCTGTTGTGGAGTAATCAGTCAGTGGATTGAGGCCACGTGGGAAACACAGATCTCCCCTTTCTCCTACTGGACCCCACTGTATGAGCACAACTAGACAGGTGTTGAGAGACGGCACAGGAGAAGGTGGAGACAACTGGGGATGAGGGAGCTCCTTTATAGCAAGATACTTAACCCAGAACCCACCAACGAGCAGGATTGAGAGCGTTGCTTCCCCAAAGATAAGTGGCAGCCACACCAAATGACAAGGTCTTAAGAGTTTAGAGAGAAGTGTGTACCTGACTGCACCCATTCAGCCTCATGCACCCAACTTGGTCCTGCCTTGGGGTCTCGGGGTTTAGTCGGGGAGACAGACTTACGGCATGTCCCCCTTGTTGGCACTGGGGACACTGGGGCCGGCAGTCTCTGGGAAGGTCTGTCCTGGGCACTGTGCTGAGCAGCACCCCTGGCCCCCACCCACTTGATACCAGGAGGACCCCAGTGTGACAACCACAGATGTCTCCCGATATGTCCCAGTGTCCCATGGGGAATGAGTCACTCCAGGTAAGAACCACTGCTGTAGACGGGTCAAGATTGCCCCTCGTCACCATGCACTGACCATACCAGGAATCGACTGGACTCTCCACTTCCGTTACCCTGTTATGTCCTTACATGGGCCCTAGAGGAGGAGGGTGCTGTCCCTCCAGCTTCAACTAGGGAAAAAAGCTCAGAGGTGGGGTGGAGACAGCTGTCCTGAGTGCACAGCCAGCTGGTGATGGGGCTAAGACTTGACCCCAGCCTCGCCGCTGCACTAGGTCACCAGGTATGGAGGACAGAGGAGGAACCAGGTACAGGACTGTGACTGAGGCGAGGTGGGGTGTGGGGGGAATGGCATGTACAAAGGCCCTGCACAGCTAGCCCTGACCTCAGACCATCCTGGCATTTGTAGGGTCTGCACAGGGCCCGGCGGGATGGCAGGGTGCACAGGTGAGCTCAGCAGTGCATGGAGTGCAGGGAGTAGAGCCTGGGCCTGGTGGGTCTGGGGTCATGGTGGCTTTGGGACAGCTGCTGCATCGTGTGACTTCACTAACCACTTGGGCTGGGCACGTGCAGGTCTGGGGCTGTGTGAGGTGATCAACCCCCCAGATTGTACCCAAGAGCCTTGGAGGCCCTGCCTTTCCGGAAGTGTGCGTGTGCATATGTTTGGATGCGTGTGCAAGTGTGTATGCATGTGCGTGCATGAGTGCACTGTGAATGTGCCTGTGTGTGTGCGCGTGTGTATGTGTGTGTGCGCAAGTTGCATGTGTGCATGTGACTGTGCCGTGTGTGCATGTGTGTGCACCTGGGTCTCATAGCGGGACCCCTTGGAAGCCTTGGGCCTCCCACTTTGAGTTTGTGAGCTGGCTGGGAGAGCTGCTGGGTCCCACACCAGGATGGGGTTCGCAGGTGCTGGGACCCCCTCTGAAGGCCCAGCCAAGCTGCCACTTACTGGGCACATGCGGACTCTCAAGCCCAAGGTCCTTCCATCCTGCCTGCTCTTTCTTCCATCCCTGACTCCCAGCCGCCTCCAGCCCAGGCCCCTAGCAGACCAGGCCAGTTCCTGTGCCCCTGTTAGCTGTGGGGGTGCTGACAACATTCTGGGCCTCTCTCCCCAGGATGGGTGGGATCCCTGCGGTGAACGGCCGAGGGGAGCGTCTGCTGCTGCATATTGGGATCATTGACATCCTGCAGTCCTACAGGTGGGTGCTTGGCCCCCAGGCTCACTCACAGAAGCTGGGCGCTGTGCCTTCCGGAAGGCCCCTGCTTGGCCGCCCTCCTCCCAAGCCTTCCTGAAGCGGGGCATTTGGCCCCAGACGCAGCGATTCCACCTCCAGGATTCATCCTAGGGACTCAGTGATGTCGGAGGCAGGTCAAAGCTGGCACGAGGCATGGGGCTGGGTAGAGCGTTGCCAGCCGATGATCTACCTAGCCTTTCCTATAGAGCACCTACTGTGTGCCAAGTGCTGGTCTAACAAGAGCAAGACAGAAGTGCCACTTGTCTGTGAAGTGTGTGTCTCTGAAAAGTTCCTACAACAGGAAGAAATACTTGCGGCCAGTGCCACATGTCATGTGGCCTCGAGCGTGGACACGCCTGTGGCAGAGCCTGAAGGACAGGCACCTGAGGTTTATCCAGAGCTTAAAGTAGGGGTGAGAGGCAACACTGTTGTCTATGCCTTATCCTCTGTGAGACTTCCTCTGTGAGACTTCTGCAGTGAATACTTTTTAATTGTCGATAGTTTTTCATTATAAGAGTAACATATTCATTACACATAATCCAAATACCACAGAGGGCAGGTTACAGAGGGCAGGTTGTGGACGTGGCAGTCCCCATTTCCCATCCACACCCCCACACCACTCCCAAAACCTGCTTGGTGTTGGGTGATTTCTTGATTTCTTTATGTGTTTTTCTCTCTCTCTTTTTTTTTTTAAAGAGTTTATTGGGGAGTTAGGGGGAGGGGAACAGACAGGTAGACAAATTGCTGTTTTTGTTTCAGTCTTCAGTCCTTCTAGTTGTAGAGGACGTTGCTTCACTGGCCCATGTTGGTATTATCATTGCACTCTTCCCAGGTGAGGCAGATCAGTCGCCAGTCACTGGAAGGCCGCTCACAGGCGGCTCGTGGCAGCTCACGCCAGCTGCCGGCCACTCACAGTAGCTCACGGCAGCCCACTGCAGCTCCACTGCAGTCTACGCCGTCGCCGGCGACTCATGGTAGCCCAGCTCCAGGTCGAGCTGTTGTTCACCATCTTAGCTGTAGAGGGCGAGAGTCACTGGCCCTCAATGTGGGATCCGAACCGCAGCCCTGCTGCTCAGAGCTGGCGCTCCCAAGCGAGCTCTTAACCAGCTGAGCCACTCGGTCAGCCCTTTTTCTCTCTTTTTAAAAAAATTTTATTGGGGAACAGCCATGGTCATTGGTTACACATCGCTTTCATGCTACAGTGGCATAGGTGACCCTTTTTTAAGGAGGGAGCAGCTCACAGTGGCCCATGCAGGGATCAAACTGGCAACCTTGGTGCTATCAGCACCACGCGCCAACCAACTGAGCTAACTGGTCACCCCGTTTTTCTCTTTTTGTAAATACAGCAGGTCCTTGTACAAGTCATTTTGTTCAAGGTTGCTTAGTTATAATGTTGCTGAGATGCCTAGGAACATAACTCTAGTTTGTATCAGTTAGCCTCTGGTGAAGTTGGTTTCATTATACATCATTTCCCTTAAAGCTGCAAAACCTGCCCAGAATAAGTGAGGACTTACGTATAAAAACAGGCTCCTGCGCTCATTGACATTTCACGGCCTGGTTTTTTCCCACCTGGAGGCTGACCCCCTCCTCTCCTGCAGGGATCTCCCTGTCAGTTTGGAGCAGTTAGGCAGCTTTCCAAGTAACCAGCCATAGTCAGCCCAAGCCCCAGATAGGGCTGAGGGGGCAGGTGGCACATGGCAGGCAGTCAAGTAGGGGTAGGAGTGTTGTAAGGGGTTTTGTGCCAAAGAGAGGATCCTGTCTTCTGAAGACCAGGGGTGGGGCATCTAGGAAGGCTTCTTGGGGGAGGCAACATTATTGCTAGCCCAGGTGTGGTGTGGGGGCCTTGCTGGGAGCCACAGTACAGGGCACTAACTCCAGCAGAGAGGACCCAGGGTCAGCTTAGTCCAGGAAGAGGGAGGAAGGGCAGGCTCTGGGGACACTGGCTGTCTGTCCTCCAGGGTCTTTTCACTTTCTCCCTCAGGACAGCGGTGGTGGGAGGCGCCAGCAGGCAGGGAGTGGGGCAAGGGGAGACAGAAAAGGGTGTGGGGGGGGCCCTGGCTAATGCAACAGGCAGCCTAGTTCCTCTAGACCAGGGCTTCTCCCCCTGCTCGGTCCCAGGAGCACCTTCAGTCATGATGACCACAAATGTCCCCTGGGGACAAGATTGCTCTGGTAGAGAGTCCCTGGACCCGAAGGTTTGACTAACGTTCTGGGTGTTTTCTCTCTGCAGGTTCATCAAGAAGCTGGAACACACCTGGAAGGCTCTTGTCCACGATGGGGTGAGTGTTATTCATTCAGTCAGTCATTCATTCATTTCATCTGTCAGGTCACAAATGTAGTGATCATCTCCCCAGGCCAGGCACAGGTGCTAAAGAACCAAGAGACATGTCCTCCCTTCCTGGAGTTGCTGTCTAACGGGGGTATCCCTGTGACCAGACAGTCACAGGCCAAGGGGCCGGGGGGTCTGAGCCATCGTGAGAGGTACAGGAAGGCTTCCTGGAGGAGGGTACCCCCAAGCTGAGTTGGAAGGCTTCCCAAGGACAGTCTGACTGGGAAAGTCAGGGGCCAGCAAGGCAAAGAAAAACCTGGAAACATGCACTGTGGAGGGGGTCTTGGCCAGGAGGCAGCACCGCGCAGCTCTGACCCCTGCTGCCACGCAGGCGTATGGCCCGCCTCAGTGGGATGTCTTAATCAAGGAAAGCTTGCAGTGCACTTTTTTCTGAGTGCTGCCAACACATAAACACTGGCAGTGGATTATTTCTAAATGTAACAAGACTTTGAGGGCCAACCACTGGGGACCAAATAGAGCCCTCCTGAGGGCTCCAGGCAGCCCCTGCACCCCTGGTCCTGCTGTACCAACAGCCAGCCTGGCAGGTGCCTCCTCTCACGGCCTGCCTTCAGACCAGTTCTTACTAAAGTGCTAAGGCTGTCCATGTGCCTACAGTCTGTAAAATCCAAGATCCCAACAATCCCCCACAGCCTCAGAGTATTTGGGGGGTCCAGGTGGAAGTATCTAGAATGTGCATGGAGAAGGTCCAGGTGGTGGTCAGCTGGCAGGAGGCTCTTTCGCAGTATTATAAACCCAAGGATTTGGGTCAGCCCAAGGGGGCCCCAAAAGTTAACCAAAGTAACCATCCAGCTGTGAACAACCCAACAGGGTAGGTAGTCCTGTGGTGTTGGGGTCCTGCTGTGTGTCACTGCACACCCTCTGGCGTTGCCCTCACGCCTGACCCAGGTGGCTGGCCCCACCTCACACTTCAACCAGAGGAGCATGGGGTGTCTCCCTTTCCTCCAAGAGCAGAGAGACTTACCGTCTTGCCTTGCACTCCACTGGCCAGAATATGGTCACATGGCCACACCTCAGCACAGGAAAGGATGGGAAACGGAGTTTTCATTCTGGGAGTCTGCGTGTCTAGACAGGTTCTGTGATATTACAGCAGGGGGAGGACACTGGGCAGTGTCTGGGGATGTCTGTGGTTGTCACACTGGGAGTGCGCCTGGCATCAAGTGGGTGGGGTCCAGGAATGCTTCTCAACACCCCACAGTGCCCAGGATGGTCCTCCACAGAGTGATCCAGCCTCAGTGTCCATCGTGCCAAGGTGGGAGAACCATACCATAGAAGGTGTGGAGACTATAACCTGGGAAGCAACAAGGAGTTTCTACCCAACATCTATTGAGCACCATTTGTGTGCTGAGCTCCCTTCCTTATGTAAATCCTGATACGCGTAGTGATATCCAGTCTCCCTGTTGCACAGATAAGGAAACAACCTCCACGAGGGGCAGTGCACTGCCCAGGGTCGCCTTGACGGTGAGCGCTGGGACAGTCGGGTCTGCCTAGCACTGAGTAACACCAGCTTCCACTTGTCACAGTTGATCAGGTCTGCCCTTGGAGTGGGCATGGCTGTATACCAATAAAACTTTACTTACAAAACAGGTGTTGGGCCGTGCTCTGCCAACCCCGGCTTTACAGAATTACTCTGGTTCCTTTATTTTGATATTTATTTACTTCTTTGAGTAGCTGTTTTATTCACATGGCTCAAAAAATGAAAAATACAGATGGGTTTATAATGTAAAAGTCTCCCTCCTGCCCCCCTCCATGCTACCGTTACCTGATCCTTGGGTCCCCTCCAGTAAGCCCCATGCCGTGGCCCCATCTCCCCCTCCACAGAGATGGTGGCATCCCGCCCCCACAGCAGTCTGTCCTGGGCTGTCCTGTGGGACATGGGGAGTGACAGCGCTCATGCCCCTGCTTGCCCTCGGGCCCCCACTTCTCTTCATAGGACACCGTCTCCGTCCATCGACCCAGCTTCTACGCTGAGCGCTTCTTTAAGTTCATGAGCAACACGGTCTTTCGGAAGAACTCCTGTGAGTTGCCCTGGCCCTTTGGATGGGAGGGACCCAGGATGTGGAGAGAGGAGGGTGGGGTGGCTGAGAGCAGGGTAAACCCCTGCAGGGTAGGTGCCTTGTCCTGGTGCCTTGTCCTGCCACTTGGTCAGCCTTGGGCCTCGGTCAGTGACTTGGTCCTGAGAACAGGGTAGTAGTCAGGCAGTTGCCCTCACAAGACAGCACAGGGCCTGGTGCCTGCTGTCCCAGTTTGAGTCCTGGCTCCACCTTGTCCTGCCTATGTGACTGAGCCAGTGGCAGTCAAGGGCCTCAGTTTCCCTATCTGTACAGAACTGTGAGGGTGATATGTTTTTACACACGTGACAGGTGGGCTTGGCCCAGCGCCGGCATTCAGTGGGGCTACCACAGCCTCGTGCCATCACCAAGGACACCTGGCCTTGGTGGGCACCAAGGTGGCTAGTCATTGGCCTAACAGGGCATTGTCAGAGCACGGTGAACAGTGGTGGTCCCCACCCTGTCTCAGGTGGGTGGTCTCAGAAGGTCCCATATCTGAGCTGTGCTTGGCCTTGAGAGTCATGGACCCTGGTGCACACCCCAGGCCGGGATCCCACGTGCCACTAAAAGGGTCTTTCTCCCCACATGTCTTATCTGTCATCTGCTCCCCTGTCCCCCTGCCCCTGAAAGTCAAAGTGCTTGTTGGCCTTGGTATCTATGTCCCCAGCGTCCAGCCTGGGGCCTGGCACACAGTAGGAGCTCAGTAAGTACCTGTGTGCACCTTACTCCCCAGGCCTCAATCCCCATGGGACGCTCCACACGTAGGGCCTCTTTCCCAGCCCGGGCCAGGTCTTTGTGGGCCGCAAGCCAGTCCTGGTTGCCTAGCACTGGCTTGTAGAGTCAAGACTGCTCCATATTCTGTGACATCTAGTCAGTAGCTTGAGATCAACTGTGGCGGGAGCATTTACACCATGAAACTCGGCAAACACCACAATCCAGCTGTCTCCAGAGAGCTGGTTGGTAACTTACCAGCACACCACTTCCTGGAACCTTTTTGAGGTGTCATTCCTACTGGTCCAGAGGATTTTGCTGGCCTTGGGGGACTGGATGGCTGTGCACAGGGAAAACTGAGCACCTACTGTGTGCCAGGAGCAGTGCTGGCCATCCTGAGGCAGAGGTCACAAGGAGTAAGGATAAGATGGCAGTGGGTGCTGATGGACCAGGCCTGGTGCGGAGGGCGTTACGGGTTCACCTGCCTCACTTGACCCTGTTACTGCAGACAAGGACCCTGGGGCCCTTGGTGTTGAGCCCCGCACTGCCCAATGCCTTTTATTTCCTTTCTGAATGTCGGGCCACAGTTGGGGTGGGTTATGACAAAGGGGATGAGACCCCAAAGTGCTCAATAAACATTGGCAGCTGCTGATTCAGTTGCTGTTTCGGGAGGGCCCAAGGTGGGGGTGCTAAGTTCCAACTCGGTTGGTGGGCAGAGCCAAGTGAAATGCATTGCTGGGCTTTCTCTGGGAAGGACGTTGCTTTTTCCCAGGCTTGAGGGGCAGGCTGGATGAAGGCGGCAGACCTCTTGGTGCCCACCACACTTTTGTGCAAAAGAGGGAGGGGGGTCTGTGGGACCCTGCCTTGGTGTTGCTGCCCCAAGCACACCAGCTGCCCTCCCTTCACAGCCCTGAAGTCATCACCGTCCAAGAAGGGCCGCGGTGCCTTGCTGGCCGTTAAGCCCCTGGGGCCCACAGCTGCCTTCTCAGCCAGCCAGATCCCCAGTGAGCGGGAGGACACGCAGTATGACCTGCGGGGGGCCCGTAGCTACCCCACGCTGGAGGATGAAGGTGACCAGGTGGTGGGAGTGGGTGCATTTGTGACAGGACAGATGAAGGGGCCGCTGGGGAACGATGTCATCCCTGGGGGTTTGGAGGGGCACAGGGAGCAACAGCAGCAACACAGTGCAAGGAAGGGACCCCCTGAAGCTGGGCCAAGTCTGGATGGGAGGGTCCTAAGTCACAGTCCACCTCCTTCCAGTCCAAGATTTGCAGCCCCCTGGGGAGTGGGGAGCCCCTGGGACTGGGCCTCAGGAAGAGCTGCAGGGAGAGCTGATAGAAGGTGCCATCCAGGGAGGTGACAGCCTCCCTTCACATCACCAGAGGTGCACAGAGACCTAGAGGGATGAACCACTTGATGAGGTTGGGCCAGATGTTCTGGAAGGTCCCACCCAGCCACCAGGATCAAAGATTACAGGCAGGGAGGGGCTGGGGGAATAGTATCAAGGAAGGGAAACACTGCATGTACAAAGGTCCTGGGGCAGGGCTGTGCCTGGCATGTTGGAGGAACATCAAGGAGGAGTCCCTTGTGGCTGGAACAGAGTGAGCAAGGGTGAGAGAGAGGAGGTGAGGGCAAGGAGGTGACGGCAGGTCAGGCATGACCGCTGGGAGACTTTGGATTTTAGCTTGAGAGCAGCAAGAAGCTAATGGAATGCCATGTTGTGGGGAGAAGAGTGTGGGTGTCCGGTGGGAACTGTAGTAGAGCCCAGAGGCCTTCAGGGCAGCCCTGGGGCCTAGCTCCAGAAGGTGCCCACTGCCTCATCCCCACAGGCCGGCCCGACCTCCTGCCCTGCACACCACCTTCTTTTGAGGAGGCCACCACTGCCTCCATCGCCACAACCCTGTCCTCCACATCCCTCTCCATCCCAGAGCGGTCCCCTTCTGAAACATCAGAGCAGCCACGTTACAGGTGAGCAGAAGGGGGCATCTCCCTTCTGAGGCTCCGGTGGGTCTGCATCCCTGGGAGGCGGGGCCTGGACGGGGTCAGGCAGGGAGACCTGCCCTACCTGTTCCACCTGTTCGTCTTCTCTCTTCAGGCGGCGCACACAATCCTCCGGACAGGATGGCCGGTGAGATGAGACTCCAGCCCCCTCCCCTCCTGTGTTCTCTCCTATCCCCACAGTCTTCCCCAGCTCCTCCCCTGCACAGCCCCTATCTCCCCCTACCCTTCCTTCCATTCCCCCCTGCACAGCTCCACCTCCGCAATTCCACCCAGAGCCCCTCTTTCCTCGGAACAGATTTAAGTTGACGATTGATTGTCAGGCTCTAGAACTGCATAGCATCTTGAGTCACTTTGTGTTTCTCTTCCACCTGGGGACCCAGAAGACACCCCCTTTCCAACGTCTGGTGATCCTTGTTTTTTCTTTTTTAAGAGATACAAAAGGAAACATGTGAAATGCTTGCCCCTGCTCTAGGTGGGTCCCCTTCCTGGGAGCACCTCCTGGATGGGGCTTTCTCTCTTTCTGGAGATATTTTATGAATATACGAGCAAACACACTCAGGCCTGTTTCTCCTTTTTGTTTTGTTTTGTTTTGTTTTTGAAGATTTTATTGGGGAATCGGGGAAGGGGAACAGACAAGTTGCTGTCCTTTTGTTCTTCAGTCTAGTTGTGGAAGACATCGCTTCACTGCTCACGCAGTTGCGGGCGACTCACGGCAGCCC